ACTGGAATTCAAACATTCTTTTAAGGCAGGAAGAAAGGTATCCAGTAGGTAAATTAGCGTTCATAACTAAAAAGAAAATGAACAGGAACGAAGAGATGAATCAATCAGATCGAAACCACTTCGCGTGAGACCGCACGTTGAGATAAAAGCGCCTAAGTGCACTATGCCTATATCGCGCGCTCGCGGTCATCCAGGTTCAATTTTCTACTCGTACATTATGAAACAACTCAAGAACATATAATGTAATCAGTTTGTTACTAAAAGAGTAAGCCAAACAATGACAATTTCCAGTCGTTGAGCAGAAGTGAACCTTTTTTTCTTCAGCACGACAAAGCAGTCTCTCGGTCCATAGGGCACATCACTAACACGACGCCGAACACGTTCAGAGATCTAGCGCTTCGAAAGCTCGCGGCCGAAGGAGGGCAAAGGACCTCTCGTGTTCCTGCCCGACGATTGAAAACCGTCACCGCGAAAACGCACATAGGTCTGAACAGTGTAAGAAAGAAAACGGACAAAAAAAAAAAATGCTTGATTGGACAGATACTCTACCGCTACCAAATAGCAGTAGGGCAGAGGGCCTGCGGTGCTGCCCTCCAGCAGAAAGCTGGACGTAACAGCGAATACTTTGGATGTAAGTGTGTAAAAAAGACGGCTACTAATGTTCAGAACTCCAGTCGGTATGCGGCGCAGGACGACTCGTGGTCCTGAAGGTTGATGGTGCATCGCGAAGCCGAGGGAGCCACGTCAATGTGGTGCTCTTCGAGGGCCTTCTGATTGTGTGCAATCCAATAGCAAAGCGCATCAGTCTCGTAGGTTGGAATGACGGTGACCGGGACGTCCGGCTCTCCCCAGCCGCGCTTGGCCTCTAGCAGGGCGTCGAGAACCTGCTGGCTAGGATTTGTACCACTGAGCACGTAATAGCGAGCTCGCACGCGGCTGAAGAACTCGACGTCGCAATAGCCCGGGTCGCCGTGGTGGGGAACGTAGGTCAGGTCGACGTACACGACATCGGAAGCGCCGCGAGATGCCACTGCCGCTCCAGATTTCTTGGTCTTAGATGACTTGGACGAAGGATCAGGCGGAACGGGAAGGCCAAGCGGTTTACCCCAGTCCCGAATGTCGAAAGGCGCAGCAGCGTCACCATCGTGCCGACCGTTTGCCTGCCGCTCGGATGAAGTAGCCTGTAGCTCTCTGACGGTATCCTGGGTTGCTTCAGTTCGACTTAAAGCCTCTGCATCGATCCGCTGCTGCTCGTGATGTGTCGATGCCACGGATGCCTTCAGAGAGCTTCGCTGGTCGGCGTCGCCAGCTGTCCCGAGGCCATGTTCCGGGTGATGGTGCGCCGCGGAGCAGATGGCATCGTCGCCAGTAGAGGCCAGCGACGACGTGATGCCAGCCGACGTCAACCCTTCCCGGGTGAGTACTTCGTGCTGGAACATGGACGACTGCGAGATGACGTGCGACGCTTCGCCGTGGCCGCCTTCCAGCACCCACTCTTCCCGCACGACGGTGGTGGGCTCTTCAACGTAGCTGACGACCCGACGCGTCTCACTCTCGCCCGATAGTGTGGACGTGGGCATCGTCTCCTCGACGACCACCAATCGCTGGACGGAAGCGGTGGTGCCGATGGGTTCCCCGTTGTGCCTGGCCCGGTTGTCATGCACAGCGGAGTGTGGACTCGGCGGTTCCGACGGCGTGTTTCCGGCCGACAATTCGACGAGTTCAGGGTAGTCCGGTTGCAGGGTCTTGCCAAACACAGGTTCCTCCACTAAGGGGCTAGCGTCGCTTAGCGAACTCTGCTCCTGGGCGCCCTCTTCATCTTCCTCGTACAGCGGCTGCTCCTCTAACATCTCCTTAGCCGCCTGCTTTGTCTGAGCTGCCATGAACTCCAAGATTGTCTTCGGGTCGCTACCTTCAGGAGGAAGACACGTTTCCTCGGTGGACGACGCCATCGGGAAGCGTATTTCGGCGCTGCTGCTCGGGTGATACACAATTTGCCGAGTCTCTGTCACGTGCGTGACATGTCCGTTCCTTCTCTCCGACAACTCCGAAGGACGGGTCAACTCAAGCGGACGTTGGGATGATGAGTCAGCCGACCGATGGACAACCGTCCAACCATTTGGAGATTGTGACACTGCAGCGGCCGCCATTTCAGTTATGCGAGCTACTTCGTCCATGGCGATACTGTGAATAGATGAATCTGGATCATGCAATGTTTGTGTGCCATCCGTATGACGAATAAACGTTTCAGGATCCCCATGATCCGACGAAACTGTGTAGACGTAGCTCCTGGACGATGTTTCAGTAACGTGATCACCATCATCACGCCCATCTTCCTCACGAGCGTGCCTTTGTGCAGCAGAGCGCAGAATCTCAAATGGAAGACCATCTTCGCCTTGACGAGAAGGCAGGGTACCAGAAGCCATAAGTGTATCATCTTTGTTATCATCGTCAGCAGACGTGTAGGTCCTATAGACGTAAGTAACGGTTGTATGTCGAGAGTCATCCTCTGTTTCGCCTTGAGATGGTTCCGAAAAAGTTGATGTGGTCCAGGTGCCTGGGGGACCATCGTTTTGGTAAACAACTCGTCGAGAGGTGACGGTCGTAATTACTTCGCGCTGTACAGGTATCTGGCCGGTTCGGTGTAACACAGGCGAAGTAGGCGTACCTCGATCCATGCTCTCAACATTGGTGTTCGAGCATGGTGTCTCCTCTATAAGCTCAGGTAGCTCTTCGTAAATAGAAGCTGTCATTTCTGGCGGCATGATTTCGACGCGGGAACCTTGTGCCGGCGGCCACCTTGATTCTGGAGCATCAATGCAAAGCTCTTCAGCAGATTGCGGCATGCACACTAGCTCTGTGGCAAGTCCAGCCGCGAGGCCAGCTACAAGACCGACGCTAAGTGGTGAGTCTGACGTGCCGTTCAAGTGAAGCTCGTCAAAGCTTTTACTGGTCGTTCGTTCAGGAGTCGGTATACCTTCTAGCGAAGCTCTAACTGTTTCGGACGAAGGGCTAGCACGTTGCTTCTCGTCTGTGAAGTGGTCGCTGTCACTGAGTCGCCGCTCAATGTATGCTTGCATGGTGACGCCATCGTCATCTACTGCGTAGTCAGATTTCTTCTCTATAACGTGATGAATAGCTTCCTCTTCTGCGCGCTTTATCTCGGAGCACAGTTCTTCAGACTCAACCATACACACCAACTCGACAGAAAGGCCCGACGCGAGCCCGGCAGCCACGGCTGCTGGTTCATCTTGCCTTGCTGCTTCCTCTGGAGAAGCCTGAGGAGGTGATACCCGCTCTTGTGAGTCGATACATTTGGTGATATGAGTGATGTCTTTCGGCAAATCTACAGACGACTGTGCTATACACACAAGCTCTGTTGGAAGTCCCGAGGAAAGCGCGGATGCCAGTGTGACATCACCTTCAGTTTTGTCATCTTTTGATTCAGCGACCTTATGGCCGTCTTTCTGATGCGAGGAACTAGAAGTCGAGACTATGGATTGCTTCACAGACGCGCGTGATGACTCGTCCTCTTCATCTGTTGCCATGGCTTCGAGAAATTCAGCTTCAAGAAATTTCTCTAGGCGAACTTTTCTTTCAAACACTTCTTTTGACAGGCTTTGATCGGCATCTGATGACGAGATGAGGGCTGAGGCGTCAGTAGGGTCAGCTAGCGGTTCTATTGAAGAATCTTCTCCTAGCTGAAACCTCAGCGCCTTGACAGGTGTAACCTCTCCAGAGACCTTGCGCCCGGGATGACTTTTATCATGTTCCGTCAAAGAAGTAGTTTCTTGTGTTTCCTTTTCAACTGCAGCTCCCGCTTTCCCATCGCTCCAGTGCGCTTGTTCTTTAAGTGTTTCCTTTTCATTTTCAGAAATAATTCTTTCACTCAAGTCAAGCTCGCAATGTTTTTCGGAAGGCTTCGTCGACGTGTCGAAAATGACCTGCTCTGTTGTACCACGAACATCCTTGCCCGTCTGGTCCAAGACATTTTCCATAGAAGGAGAATCTATAACGCAGAGCTCTGTTTTCAAGGCAGCAAAGAGGCCCGAAGCTATGCCATGCCAGTGAGCTACATCGGGGACTGATTGCTTGTCTTCGGTCATAATAATTTTGGCTGCAGGTGAGGTGTAACCCTCTGATGTCCTTGTCGCGTTTTCATCACCAAGCGGGGCTGGTACAGTGCTAACCTTCTCACACAAAAGGGCAGTGTAAGTTGAAGGCTCTTGCTCCATCTTTCCGATTTCAGTGGGCCTCTCTGGCTTCACAGGAGGTAATTCGTGGACGCTGGAGGCTGATTCGATTTGGTCTAAACTGACGTGTGGTGATATTGATTCTTGGTGATCACGGGTGCTGGAAGGCTCTACTGTGGAGTCACTGTACAAACTTCCCGACCTTGAAGAATCGTCAGGGTATTCTCTTGCTGTGCTGGAAAAGCTCTCTCTGCTATCTTCTTTCTGGTAGGGTTTCTCCAGTTCTGTGTAACTTCGTTCTTCTGATGTCACACTGCATGCGGAGTCAACACTAAACCTAGCAGTAGGTGAAGTTTCGAGGTGTTTACTGTATTCACGCATTAAATCACTCTCTTTGGACGAAGTAAGGGACCTACGACTAGAACCTGCGTCATCACTAGAAGAAGTCGTTTCACTCTCGATGGAAGGCCTCTTCAACTGAATGCTGCTTGTCTCACCAAGCCGCGCGTCTCTGTCCCCTGATATTTCTGTTTTACCTAGTTCAAGTGGTGATAAGGGTGTCTGCACTATACCACGCTGACTAACGGGGGAAGTGAAGTCTGGTGCATGGCGTGGAGGCAATAGAGGTACCCCTGAATCTTCTTCCTTGTTTTTATCGTCGATAGCGATATCGTCACTAGGCTGATAAGGTTCTTCTGATGGTGTTCGGTCATGTGCAACACACAAGTTCTCAGTCTTTTCAGAGGAAGAAAAGCTTCCTGGGTGATCCTCCAGATGGCGATTCTCGAGAATAGTGGTGATCTGCCCCTCGTGGTACTACGCAATCAGCGCTGCCTTTCGCGAAATACTCAATCTGTTGATCTTTCACAGGATGAATATCCTGTGGTAGTGAGCAGAGCTCTGAATGTGGGATGTATGTTGGCACCCCTACACCACCACTAGAGATATGCGTGTGAGAAGGAGCGATAGCCTTGCGTGTACTGTCCTCGTCTTCGCTGGATATGTCGGCTTCTGAGGACCCCTGTGTAGATATGGGGTGCTTGGAGTCTGACGTGGTGCGAGCTCTTTTAAATGCACGAGGGTGCTCGACGGCAATCCTTTTGACAGGGGACTGAGGCGGGCTTTCAGGACTGGAGGGACGAGACCTGCATTTTTCGCCTTCGTGACCTTCTTCGGTCTTTGAATAATCGTGGGAAGAGACATCAGGTGCTTCTATTGTAAAGCCTTTGGCCTCGACCGCGAACTCAATATCAGAAACGGAAGTAATTGAGCTGTCATAATCAATAGACACTCTCTGCTGCATGTGCGCCAGCTCTGGTGCATCAAGAGATGTTGGGCACATCGCTTTCGGATCCTTCATCGGCTGATCCAAAATTTCCGACGATCGAGCATCTTGAGAATCGCGATGGTGTATCCACGGTGCTTCCGGCACATAGGGTTCGTGCTCTGGATGGACCAGTGACGGTGAACTTCTAGAAGTTGTTTCTTTCCCATCTGCTTCAACGTATGGTGCTTCTTCACGTGCTTTTGTTCCTTCTGGTACAGAAGAAAGACGTGAGTCGCAAACAACGCCTTTTACGATTGCATCCTTGAGGTCAGTTGTACTTCCAGGTTCTTCCGTGTCCCTGATAGTTCGCACATCTGGGTGACTTGCACTTTCTTTCAGTGCGACAGGCGAAGAACCTGATCCTTTGGCAGAACTTGTATCAAAAGCCGACTGTAAGCCAGGCACTCTCTCCTCAGAAAGCTTTAAGAGGGTGTCGTCTGCCAGGGACGACTGTGAAATATGTGATACAGGAACGACAGTCTCATATTCCCCTGTTTTCGAGTCCTTTAGTGTTACCGATACACTTCCTTGAAGCAGCGATGTTTCTGGCCTTATCTCTTCCGAAACTTCAATGGGTGATGATGGACTCTCTGGCTTGTGTACTGCAGTCGACAGCTCACTGGGGACATGAACACTCTTTTCTTCCTCTGGCGCACCTGAACAAGGACAAGAAGAAACAGTGCAATTGATAAGCACGTTAAGCAAGGTGAAAACTACCATCATCCTGTTTATATTTTTGGCAAATACCCAAAAGCGTGTTAGTCAGCTCGCAAAAATTAATCAGCAGATCTTTACCAGTGACGCGGAAACATACCGCAGCCTTTCTAGTAAGACATTACCTCAACATTTCAGCCCCTTGGGCAGACTGTAAAGATCGCAGTGATTTAAGACGTATGCTCTGGAAGTGCTTCGGAGGGAAATAATTAACAATTCTTTGAAGAAAAATTTTATTGTAATGATAAAAAGCTCGGTTTTACTACAACTCAAAGCTGCCCAGAAGGCTCACTATACGGCGGTGAGGCTATGCCTCTCCACTTGTATGTGGAAGCGGCCCGTGATCCACCTCTTACGAAATGGCGGTGGAATCCCTTCAGGACTTCAATAAAGCTCTTTTATATATCTGTCTATCTATGACATAAAGCAGATAAATTTTTGAGCTAAACTTTCAAACAAAATTTATGCCACTTATTCGTAGGTAAAGCTAAATCAGTGCCTATCTATTGATATGTGGGGTTTAACGTCCCAAAACCACCGCATGATTAAGAGAGACGCCGTAGTGGAGGGCTCCGGAAAGTTCGACCACCTGGGGTTCTTTGACGTGCACCCACATCTGAGCACACGGGCCTACGGCGTTTTTGCCCTATCGAAAATGCAGCTGTCGCAGCCGGGATTCGATCCTGCGATCTGCGGTTCAGCAGCCGAGTGTCTTAGCCACTACACCACCGCGGCGGAGCCAGTGCCAATTTATTTATTCATTTATTTTTTATTTTTATAGATACTGAATTTTTACATGATCTTGGCAGCGTCGTACAAACGTTGGTGCATAAAAAGGAAAAAAAAAACAGCATACGGAAAAACCAGTGAGTCACTTCACACACAGGAACAAAAAGGCAAGCGACGTCATTCCGACAGTTTTCAAATGAACAGATTATAAAAAAAAGAATACGAAAAATCTCAGCCAGACAAAAAAAAAAAAAGAAAGCTCCCTCCTGTATGTATGAGTGAGTCAGAGAAACAACCTTATTAGGCCCACAATACACGCGAGCATATGAATGCCTCTTGGCCAGGCCCACTTGGAGACCACCAAGCTAAACTTGACGGCCGGTGTTTGAAAGGTCTGGGGGGGGGGGGGGAAGTGGTTCTTAAAATTGGAAAAGAAAAGAAAAGTGAACCCCGCAACTGTCTGCAGCTAAGTGCGACACCTCAGCAGTGGTTCACATGGGAAGGGGAATGGGGGATAATAGACTTGAGCGAAGAGAGGAAAGAGAAAGGAGAGAGCGAGCAAAGGAAGGGGGGGACGCACAGATCGTCTACCGAAATCACGGGGCGCGAATTCTCTAAATTCGCTCACGCAGTCCGCTTCCGTCTACAAAGTCGAGCAGCGCTGAAAGGGCACGCTTGATATGCGCGCGGCCACTGTTCGGGAACAAGAGGTGCTCAGTTGTTGTCCGAGGCAGGCCGAGAGCTCCGTACGTTGCGAGCATCACCTGTCTGCTCGCGTCACCAGCCGGGCAATGAAGCAAAAGGTGGTCCAGAGTCTCCAGGTCGCCGCAGTCCATGCAGTATGGACTGCCACGCCCGGAGTGCCGATGTTTTCGCTCGGCGGTGTAGTTGTCTCCGGTGCGGAGACGGAGAAGGAAACCGCGGTCTCGTCTTGGGAGTCCCTTGAGAGGGAGCCGCCGCGGCGGCTTTCCAGCTGCTACGCGAGGGTCGGGATGACGCTCGCGCACGTAGCGGGCGGTGAGGAGACGGCCGGCATCCGCGGAGCACACGAAGTTGGTGACGCCGGTGTCGGGGTCGTGCGCATCCCTCGCGGCACAGTCGGCCGCCTCGTTGCCGGGTATTCCGATGTGCGAAGGCACCCAGTGCAGCGAAAGGTCGCACCCCGTTTGCTGCACGGCGTGCAGCTTCCGGGCAACTCTCTGCGCAAGGAGGCTGCCGTCTTCCTCGCGCGAGATCGCGGCCAAGGCCGCCCGGGAGTCGCAGATGATGGCTGCAGCGCTCATGGGTGCCCGCTCACTGAGGAAATCGGCTGCCAAATTTATAGCGACGAGTTCCGCCACAGTGGAGGAGGCGAGGGAGGGGAGGCGGCACTTGAGAACCGCGCCGACTGATGGCACAACGCAGGCGGCGGCCGCGGAGCCGTCGCGAAGCACTGACCCGTCGACGTAAACAAGCAGCCGGCCGTTCAGCTGTTCGTGAAGGAGGGCGGAGCACTCCTGCTGCATCGCTGCCAGCGGGGTGCGCGCCTTCGCTTTGATGCCGCCAATGGTCTTGGTGATCACCAGAGGGGTGTGGCGGTAGGGTGGGATAGCCAGCCAGCTGGGGTACTTGTCTGACACAACCGTCAAGAGCTCACTCGCCCGCTGCCCCATAAATGAGTGAGGTAGAGCATATAGCCTGTTCACAAGGAGCTGCCCCTGCCTTGTGGTTTTCAGCCGCAGTACATGATTTAGTGTCCGCTGGGTCACCCGCAGGGAGATGGGAGTTTCCCCCGCTTCGGCGAGCGTGGGGCCCACCTGGGAGGTTTGGGGAAGTCCGTAGTACTCCCGCACGGCGTTGCGATGGTCCGTGTCCAAGGCAGCTAGCTGGCAAGCACTCAACGAAGCCACTGCTGCAGTGTAGATCACGCGTGCCGATGCGACTGCGTTGTAGACTCGCAGGGCAAGGGCAGGGGTGCAGCCGTGCCCTCGCGCGAGGAGACTGCGTGCGGCGCCGAGTACCTTGCGGTTGCTCGTCCGCAGATCGTTGACGGCCGGTCGCCAGCTGAGCCGGTGGTCTATGGTCACCCCCAAGTAGCGCACCTTCGTGCTCCACTCGATGGGGAGGCCCCGGAGTGAGAGCCGAGGCGTGGAGCGGCGTGTCGACGCTCGCGGGTGGACGAGCAGTGCCTCCGTCTTGGAGGCGGCGAGCGCCAGTCCAACCCCGTTCAGGAATGCGTCAACCGCGTCGATGGCCACCTGGAGGGACTCGAGAAGGGCTGCCCGGTGGCGACCGGGGCCGCAGGCAAACAGCGCAATGTCATCGGCGTAAATCGCCACATGCACTTCACACGCCGTGTTGCACGGGATGTAGTCGGGCAGCTTGGCAAGAGCCAGATTGAACAGAAAAGGGCTCAGTATGCTGCCCTGGGGTACGCCTGCGGTGACGGAGTGGGGACCGCTGATTGTGGAGCCAACACGAACGCGAAGAGTGCGGTCGCCCAAGAAGCTCTCCAGGTAGTCAAACATCCGCCCGCACACACCGAGGTCACGAAGTGCGTCCAAAATCGATGCGTGGGGCAAACAGTCAAACGCACTTCTCACGTCGAGCAGCACGAGGATGCCGTAATCGCCGCGGTACTTGGCCTCCTCGAGGGTGGCGATCACGTCGGCCAGTGAGTCGAACGTACAGCGCCTTGGGCGAAATCCGCTCTGTTCGGGAGGGAATGCGTTGGTTGCGGTGGCAATCCAGCGAAGGCGTCGCAATGCCATGGCTTCCATGACTTTCCCTGCGGCCGAGGTAAGTGACACTGGCCGGTAGGATGAAAGCTCCGTGGCCGGCTTCCGTGGCTTCAGGATGGGCACCACGAGCGCCTCTTTCCAGCCAGGAGGCACCTGACTTGTGCGCCACACTTCGTTGTAGGCCTCCAGCAACCGGGGCCGCGTGGAGGGGTCAATGTTGCGGAGCACCTGGTAGGTGAGGCCGTCCACTCCCGGGGCAGACCGCTTCGTGCGGTTGTTGAGCACTGCGGTCAGCTCGCTGAGAGTAAACTCCTCCGTGCACAATGCGCGGATCTCTAGCAGAATGCCCTCGGTGGGAAAGTACCGCTCGGGAGCGAAGAGCTCAGGCCTGTTGAGTGCAGGCACAGGTGGTAGTCCCTGTGGAGGCTGTGGGCAAGCAGGAGGGGCAAACTTGTCTGCCAGCAGCTCAGCCAATTCCTGCGTGGCGATCTTCATTGCAACAGCAACACAGAGAACCGGGCAGCGAGGCTCTCTGGTGCGAAGAACGGCAGCGAAAATGCGCCAGGCTTGGGCGTGGTTCTGAGGGTCATCTAGTGACGAGCAGAGGCTCCCCCAGCTCTGGTTGCGACGGCGTCTGGCGTGCCTGCGGCACACCGCGTCAATACAGTTATAGGCACGCCAATGTTCCGCCTTCTGCGAGCGCACCGCCACAATCTGCGCCCTGCGACGCGCGGCGCGAAGGTTGAGGAGGCTGATGTCTGGTGCGGGGGTGCCCGCAGGCACGGTGCAGTGGGTGGTAGCTGCGTCGTGACACTCGGCCAGCGCGGTGAAGAAGTCTGCAGAGACTGGCACTCTAGCACACAGTTCTCTGAAGCGAGTCCACTTCACAACACTGTAGGTCCGAGTGTACCTGATGTAAGCTGAGGGGTGTGTGACCACGATGGGGTAGTGGTCGGAGCCCTGAGAGTCCGGTGCACGTTGCCACTCGTATTTACACGTACCACCCACGAGAGTCAGGTCGATGGCACTGTCGGACACACCACGGCGCGCGAGAGTACAGCTACCCGTGTTTATAACGAGCAGTCCGGCCTTTTGCACGGCATCGAGAAGGTCGCGCCCACGGTGGTTCGTCACGCCACTGCCCCACGAGGTGTGGTGAGAGTTAAAGTCGCCACCGATGACCGCGTCGCGATTTAGGCGGTCTGCGAGGCGGCACACGAATTGGGTGTCCCAGCGTGCCGAGTAGTTCGATGTGCGCACGTACACGCTAGCGACACTGGTGTCCGTGCTCCCGATGCGCACAGTCAGGGCGACGGCCTCGAGGGTGTCACAGAGAATGTCCTCGATGTCCACTGCAGCGTGAGGGAGGTCGGCGCGCACATAAACCGAAGCCCGCGACGTGCCGGGAGGATGCGAGGGAGTGCTGCACCGGACTGCGCTACACTCTTCAAGTTCGCACTGCGTGGTGCTGTGATAGCCGACAAAACCAGGTA